TTTGTGTGATTGGGTAGCTTTTATATTGTTACATACCTGCAGCCCCTCACTCCAGATAACCCAAGGGTGTTGCAGTGCTATTACACCAATCTTCCAGGCTGCCCCCTGTCTGTTGTAATTGGCCCTGCTTGGGGACACTTCCACTTCTCCATGCTGATGCCAACATGCCAACATCAGCATATCGGCAAAGGCATCATTGCAGAAATAATAATAAAAAAATATATATTTATATAGAAACAGCAAAAGGATAGCACTCTAAGGACTTCAAAATAGAGTAAAACTAAACTTTTAATGTCCAAGGAAAAGATCAATGTTTCAGTTTGTCTTGCAAACTTTCAAGCAAGATGAACTGAAACGTTGATCTTTTCCTTGGACATTAAAAGTTAAGTTTTACTCTATTCTGAAGTCCTTAGAGTGCTATTCTTTTGCTGTTTCTACATTATTTGCTGACAAGCACCGGGCTTTTTTTACACCTGAGTAAGTGGAGTGCAAAATTATTTTCTTATGTATGTATATGTGTATATATATACATAGATTTTTTTTAAATGCATGTTCCACATGAATAAATCACACAAGCTCACTGACACACACATACAAGCTTGCTGGCACTCACACACAAACTTGCTACAGACAAGCTCTCTGACACACACAAGCTGACTACAGACACACTAAATGGTATACATACACACAAGCTGACTACAGACAAGCTCACTGATACAAACAGAAGCTCAATACAGATCATCTCACTGACACACACACAGGCTCACTACAGAAGAGCTGAATGACACACACAAGCTCACTACAGACAAGTTCACTGACACAAACACACACTCACAAGCTCACTAACACACACAAGTTCACTAAAGACAAGCCCACTGACATACACTTTGACAAGCTCACTAGCACACCCACACAAGTTCTCTACAGACAAGCTTACTGGTAAGCACACACACAATCACATCAGTCGTGTGCTGCTGGGAAAACCTACAAGTACTTGTCACTAGCAGTATGGACTCTGAAGGCAGCTGTCTGAAAGATCCGCTGGTTGAGGCTGGGGGTAGAAGCACCAGTGCGGTGGTTGGCTCCTGCCAGAGCTATTCGGCCATGATGTGCTGGAAATGGAAAAGGAGCATATGTGAGAGAGACTTACAGTGATCAACTTTGCCGGTATGCTGGTCACTGGCAGCCTCTATGCGACTTGTTTACTGTCTGCACTAACCCACAATGCACACTCTAAAAAGGGGAAAAACAGGTTCCGTGGTTCACCGGGAAATATCTTGATATCCCAATGTGCCAGTCCAACCCTGTTGTTCCCCAACTATCAATCATCTTATTTTCCATCAGTCATCTTTTTTTTTTGGGGGGGGGGTCGCCCTGGCAGACCTCTGTATCATGAAACAAACTAGACGGTTTTATTCGTTTCCCATTTCATTTGTTTCATGGTTCATCCATATTGCATTTAAGAGTTCGGGATTTTGGACGAATCGCTGATTGTCTAATATTTAGATAAATCGCAATTCTTTTGAAACTGAATGCACAAGTCTAATTTGACCACTATACATGTTTTCTTTGTTTACAGTTGACCTCCAGGCTTCATTAAGGTAGAATACTCTTGCCACATTTTAAAGAATGTTTGCAAGTCACTGAGGTTTTAACACTCTGTCTGTTGGTTTATGTCCATGCTTATCAGACAGCAGTGACTTTACTGGTCATTGGCTTTATGTTTCTATCACACTACGAAACTCATCTATTTTGGCCCATCTCACTTAGAGGTGTGAAACCAAAAAGTTAGAAGTACGATATGATGAAAATAAGTTGAATAATGTGTACGTGTCACAATACAAGTCTTAAAGAAACACCATTGTCACACAGACTAACTTATTGCAATGAAGTGGTCTGGGTGCAGTGGTCATGTTATTTTAACCCTGCAATGCAAAAAAATTCAGTTTTTTTTCAAAACTGCAACATTGCAGTGTTAAATACATTCATTCATTAATTTATTTGAAATTAATACCATAGGAGGTGGACAGAAGGAAGTTGGACAATGGAAACCTATAGATCTGAAATAACTATAGTTAACTATCTGTAACTATTTTTGGGACTATTCATTCTCTTTAAAGGAACATTCCAGGCACCATAACAACTTAATCTCAATTAAATTGCTAGGCTACTTTAGGGCATCTTACCTTAAGTGTTAAACCATTTAACCAAAAAGTGTTCCAGGTGGTGCTCATTTTCTAGGTCCCCATTTCTCCTTTTCCAGCTGTGGTTTCAATGTACAAGACTTGGACTAGGTGCTGGTGATAGGGTGAGAGCATCAGCTTGACTTCCCATTGAGAAGAATATATTAGAAAGATGTTCCTTGCTAATGCATTTTTGTCAATACAAGGCCAATACAAGAGCATCACTGTTGCTCTTAGCCTATCAATGGAGCACAGTCCAAGGCTTCCACATTAAGGGCGAGGTCAGAGCAGTAGACACAGGGGCTTGGAGGATGGGCACCATCTGGAGCACTTTGGGGTTACATCACTCTTAAATTGTTTATATCATCTTTTATCCCATCGATCATTTTTATGGAACCTCGGATGAAACTCTCAATCACAACAACGTTGCTTGCCATTGTATGATTTGTTTGTTCCTGATACTTCCACATGATGCTTCTGAGTTATGGATTTCAGATCACTCACTGATCACCAAAAATTTGCATGAATTGCAGTTTGTTTGAAGCCAAATGCACAAGTCTAGTATATTGCTGGCGTTGGCTATGTGATGTAAGTGTATATATGTCTAGTAATGAGTATGTCAGAGCGGTGGGTTGGTGTATATTGCTGATGGCAAGTATGTGATGGGGATGGTGGGTATGTGACAAGGGTTATATATTATTGATGCTTGGTGTGTGACTGTGTGAGGGATATACATCTGGTGGCGGGTGTGTGACTGGGATTGGGTTTATGTAAAATAATGGCGGTGGATATGTTTGTACGTAGCAGAGAAAGAATGGGTGGTGATGAGAATGTGATGGGCAGTGGGTGGATGTATTTTACTGGTGATGGGTATGTTTTTGAGGTGAGTGAATGTATATTACAGGTGGTGGGTCAGTCAAAGAAGTTATATTTGTGTGTAACAAAGTATGTGTATGTGACATGTAGTAGGTAGTTGTATATTACTGGTGGTAAGTATGTGTTTATGTAGACAAGGGATGGTGTATATTAACAGTGACAGGTTATATGTGTGTGTGTATGTATGACTGGTAGTAGAATGTATGTAAGTCATATACCCATCACCAGTAATATACATTCCATACCTATGCCAAATACTCCCCACCAGTATTAATGCATTCACCCACCTATCCACTCCCTGTCATATACACATTTCCAGAGGTAGACTACTATAACAATATACCACCAGGTGAGCTGAAGCTAAGGAATCAGGTATGGGGTTGTTGGAGCAGCGGCTTGAAGTATCCATTGCTGCAAACTCTCAAGTCTATGATGCACCTCTTAATCCTGCTCCCATGCATAATGTCACTGGGTCACAAAGATCAGGAAAGGCATGCGCGGTCATCATCCTAAACAGGATGGAGGGTTGAGCCTTTAAGATATACTGACTTTATATAATGTAAGGATTGCTTTATGTTTTTCTGGAGCAGTGATTGCTTCTAAGTATCTATCACCATAAATTCTTCTTTCACATCCTGGAAACAAATTCCGTGCCTTTTCCTTATCCTCATTTACCAACACACCCATTTCTAATTTTAATTAAATTGCATGGCAGGGAGCATAAGGGCTACAACCTCCCCTATACTAATATAGGAGTCAAAGTCTCTCACATAGGCAAAAAAAACATTTTTTATTTACATTTTAATATAGCTTTTGCTCAGTACATTATAAATATTCAGAATCCTATATTTGTTTAGGGTTCAGTTGTGAAAAGTACTGATTTTATTTCGGACACAGAATGCATCCAAACTATTGGTGCAGAATTGGTTGGCCAAATTCCGACCAGAAAAAGCTTTAGTAAATATGAGAATTGCCATTGCATTTAAAATTCGGAGATTTCACTGGATATTGTCCATCTGGAGGAGCAGTAAAAAGAAAAATCTATATTTCTATATTCATATATTATATATTTAATAAATAAATAAAATTGGTAGCAATTTTACTTCTTACGTGAGCATGCAAACAATACTGTATATTAATGAGGTCAAATCCTATCAAATTTATTAAAGTTGCTTGGTCCAAGCCCTCATACTGATGTGATAGAGGCAGATGCCAATCACAATTCCAAAATGCACCAAATGCACAATTAAAATTCCAAATACCACAAAATGCATTAAAGTTGTATTGGTGCTTAGAGTGTCCCTTTAAACGCACTTCATGTGCATTTTCTTTTGCGTGAGTGAGCAGGAAGCACCATAGTTATCTGTGGCTACAGACACCTAATGTGCACATCCTGCCCTGTTCAAAAGTGTTTTCCAAATAGAAATACAGATAGTTCCAGACTTTACAGACTAATTGGTTTCGAAGTCTAGTTTATAAAGCGAGAACTTTTTCCCATTTACACAATGTAATGAACATGGATTCCGTTTCTGACCAACACATTTTACCACTGAAAACCTAAATCATTAAGTACAAATACAAAATTGAAGCATAGCAAATACCTATATGTTGTTGGAATGTTAAAGGAATACATACCATATTAATATCTTCCTAAAATCTTCATCAATCATCATCGCTCTCAATGAAGAGACATGCTGCACTCATTCCACAGTCCCTATTTTTACACCTCTCTCAAGCCCTCCTCCTTCTTCACTTTCTTCTTTATCAACTTCCTCCTCTCCTTTATCACTTTTCTTTTTCTTCTTTTATTTCATACCTCTCTAAAGCCCTGCTATTAGTGATGTCCCGAACGGTTCGCCGAACAGTTCGCGAACGGTTCGCCACGAACGGTTCGCCACGGACTCATCATTGAGTAAACTTTGACCCTGTACCTCACAGTCAGCAGACACATTCCAGCCAATCAGCAGCAGACCCTCCCTCCCAGACCCTCCCACCCCCTGGACAGCTCACTAAGAATGCAGCTTCACAATGAATGTAAAATGGATGCTGTCCAGGAGGTGGGAGGGTCTGGGAGGGAGGGTCTGCTGCTGATTGGCTGGAATGTGTCTGCTGACTGTGAGGTACAGGGTCAAAGTTTACTCAATGATGAGTCCGTGGCAAACCGTTCATAGCGAACCGTTTGCGAACCGGTCGGGACATCACTACCTGCTATTTATTCACTTTCTTCTTTATTAACTTCCCCCTCTCCTTCATCACTTCTTCACTTTTCTTTTACTCCTTTTATTTTTACAGGTTGGCAAACACACAGACAGACAGAAATGTCAGACACAGACAAATCAAGTCAAATCTTTACTCAATAGTACACAGCGCAATAATATTAAAGGCATTCCCATAAAAGCACAGAAAGACTGCAGTACAATCTAAACCCTGCTTTTTAGACTTACCTTTATCTTCATGAACTGCGTTCCTGATCCTCTTCTCTTCTCTCTTCTCTTCTCTCTTCATGTCTACTTCTGGCCACAAATTATTCTTCATCTCTTCTTTTCTGTGTTCCAAAGCACGCTCCCCAGTCCAAATCCATGCAGAGCTGACAGAAAAAGGTAGTGAAACAAAATGGTGGAACATCCGGGCAAAGAATTTATAAAGACGGGAGTTCACAAAGCGGGAAATGCTTATATTGTGGGTTCTCAGTACTATTTGTCCTGTATTATTTCAATGTCAACTGCTTTTCCAACAATTAGTGTGGTGGAAGAGTAGGACTATTGATCAAGTCAAGGTCTATGGAACCCCTGTTCATATGTACTTTTTGGGAGTGCAATGTCCTAGGACATCCTATGTTATTATGGGATCAACATGTATTAATACTTTTCAAAGGAACACATTAATACTTATTTAGGTTTTGTATTGAGTCCAATAAAGTATTTTAAATTCATTTGCATGTGTGTTTTATTTCAGTCTTGTGACTGTTAGTGGAAAATATATTATTGAATTGTTGATTTGGGGATTCCTTTTACTGCTGCCCTGTTTATCTCCATAAGTAGTGTGGTGTTATTACATGTATTGGAAGCATTATCTGGTAAATAGATTCATTTCAATAAAAGTTTTTAATCTTGTGCTTATATAGAAACTGAATTAAAATAACAATGAAAAATCGAATTATGTGGATATCCCACTAGGTGGCACTATAATACCAAAATACATTTGTGTTTGACCTATCGAAAAGCAAAATGTAATTTATGTAATTACATAAGATTCAATAATTCACAGAGATTCTTGCTCAATTCTACCTTGAGGTAATGCTTAATTTGGTCTAACTGGCTGCCTGACCATCACCTATTGTCAATCAATGCCTCACTTTTGGTCACTGACTTTCTACTTACCAAGGGAATGGCCTACTCATTGACTTGTATTTTGGGGCAGTCACTGGCTAAGGACACAAGTGGGTGGATATTTGGCAGACCTATGCTGCCTGGTGCCCTGTAGTTGTCCCTTTGCATATGAGGGCTGGCTGGGTCTGATGGATATACTGTATTAGAGTAATTAATTTTAACTAGCCAGTCCTTCAACACAATGAAAGCATAGGGAGCCCCCTCTGAGTGATGTTGTACTCACTATGTCCCCATAATGGATGCAGGCCTTTTTACGCTGCTCATTCCTGTTACCCCTCATTATGTAGCCTGGAGGCACACCAGAGGCAAGCAAGAACCAACTTCACAGCTTTTATTCCTGCCTTCATATTATCTCTCCTGACTCCTAATCTGAACCCTTCTGACCCTCATACTGATGTATGCACAATTAAAATTCCATGTACCTTTCTTAGATTCAGCTCTCCTGCCCCTCTTCACACTGATCCCAGCAGATCTCCTACAGAAGAGGAGGAAACTGATTGGCTTTCTTACCTTTCCAGGTGGTATTTTTCTGTATTCCTTAATCTCGGGTCCTTACTAGAGACCTGGGAATCTGAGGTTTCTGCACAGTATTATAGCTGTTCCTCGAACTGCACTAGTCTGGACAGAGTTCTCAGATGTCCCACCTGGAATCTGCTGAGGCTACTCACCGAGCCTTGGACGGTAGAGTTTTTGCCCTTTGGGTTTTGTTATCATGGTGCCTTTTTTGTTCTGGAAGTTGAACACTTTAAGAGCGTTCCTGGTCACTGGTCCTTTTGGATCATATCCCTTGCTCTAGTGTAAAATGAAGCAGAACATCTCTGGAGATACTTAAAAATGGATATCCATTGACAGTCCCCATTCAACCTGACAGAGCTTGAGAGGATCTGCAAAGATAAATGACAAAAACAACCCAATTCCAGGTGTGCAAAGCTTTTTAGGCATCATACCTAAAAAGACTAGAGGTTTTAATCGCTGCCAAAGAAACGCTAAAACGCTATATAGACAAATCATGCAATGGACAATAGATAATACCATTTACTTTGTTCATGATTCAGAGTTCCATTGTGGCACAAAAGTAAATATGATTGATGTGAAAAATGATTGATAGTTAGGGTGCAGCCACTAAATATTGATTTTATTTACAGTTCAAGTGAGAATTGTGCGATATAAGGAAAAAAATGAGGCGCAGTAATAAAACTTCTATTTTTATATATCATATATTTAATACATATATAATATATAAATATATTTAACTGCTTCTCCTCTTTTTCCCTCTATTAATAACTTCTTCTCACTTGATCTGTGAATGAAATGGCGAGAAAATACACCTACTAGTAGTCTGCAAAATATATACAGAATATTTATATTTTGCACGTCACTGAACAGCTAATTTTTTAATTTTATTTTGTCTGAATTGTTTATCTTGGACAATGTTCATCTGAGCTGAAACGCCACATGGATGAATCCTGCATCGGCGAAACAATTTTTTATTTCTGAACGAAAAGTTTAGGGAAAATCCCATTTTTTTGGCATTGTACAAGTCTAGTTTACGTGTATATTTGTTGTGCTATCAACTTTCAATGTTATATTAGTGTAAAATTGCTTAGATGTACTTTATTTACGTTAAGTGATCAACCAGGAATTGTTTGTATAAGTTTGTCGATGTTGCTTCCAAATATCATCAAATTCCTTTTTCATTAAATCATGGGAGGTGTTGGGGTCCCTAGGATACAAAAAGCAAAGAGAATGCACACAAAGGGAACAAGAGAATTAATTGTATTGAGTGGTGAGGTAGTTGAAAGAAAGTTAGAGGAGCAGTAGTGTTTTTATATGATTTTGTCGAACTGGCTGTTCAGATACTTTGGCCAATACGGAGTAAGTGTGAGGTGAGACACGATCTCAAGCGAAAGGACATTTATTGTGCTCAAGGCAATTTATTTGATCAGTCAGTCCAATGTCCTGATTCATTGATGACAAACACCTGTTTTACTCTGTCTTCATTGTCCTACATTTAGATAAATATAGGTGGGGCATGTTCTGTCTTGTACAAAATTACTTGGCCGGTTGCCTCTTTATTGAATAACTAAAAGATTCCAGAGTGATTGGCCTTCACACCCACAAATCCCAGAATAACTGAAACTCGAGTAATCCACTGCACAATATGAATATTTAATCAATGACTTAAAAAAATGGATTTGTGTTTAACTAGATTTACAGAACAATTAGAATTATTTGTACATATGTTTATGGTGCCAAAAATATTTTTTTTTGTTCGGGTGAATGCAAATTTGGAAATGTCGTGTTTCAGCTTGGCCAACTTTTGCCCATGTGATAGTTTTAAGGAAAATGGTCCAGACAAATAAATACATGATATAAATATATTCTATATCTTTTTAAGTACACCGATAGGTACATTTGTATTATTATTATCCTTGTTATTGCCATTTGTATAGTGCCAACATATTTAGCAGTGCTTTACAATTATATTAAAGGACCACTCTAGGCACCCAGACCACTTCAGCTTAATGAAGTGGTCTGGGTGCCAGGTCCCTCTAGGATTAACCCTTTTTTTTATAAACATAGCAGTTTCAGAGAAACTGCTATGTTTATAAATGGGTTAATCCATCCTCCTAATCCTCTAGTGGCTGTCTCATTGACAGCCGCTAGAGGCGTTTGCGTGATTCTCACTGGGAAAATCACAGTGAGAACACGCAAGCGTCCATAGGAAAGCATTATGAATGCTTTCCTATGAGACCGGCTGAATGCGCGCAGCTCTTGCCGCGCGTGCGCATTCAGCCGAAAGGGAGGATCGGAGGCGGAGAGGAGGAGGGGAGCTCCCCGCCCGGCACTGGAGAAAAGGTAAGTTTTACCCCTTTCCTCTCCCCAGAGCCGGGCGGGAGGGGGACCCTGAGGGTGGGGACACCCTTAGGGCACTATAGTGCCAGGAAAACGAGTATGCTTTCCTGGCACTATAGTGGTCCTTTAAAGGAGAATTTAACAACAAATGAGACAAACTATAAAACATCTTGACGGGAACAGTTGGTTGATGAAAACCCTGCTCAGGCAAGTTTGCAATGTAGATAAGGTGAAGTATAAAAACACAATATGAAGAACAGGAAGGACACAAGAAAGGACATCATAGGGTATTGGAACCAAGTGGTAGGTGGGAAAAGTAACAGGAATGGAATGTGAGAGTAAAGGGAAGAATGGACCCACTAACCAAGCTAAGACAGTACTAAGAGTTACCCTGGGAGTCCATAGGCTATTCTGAAGAAGTGGGTTTTTAGGGACTTATAAAGGATTGGTGACTAAGGACAGTCAGATGGGGGAAAGCAGGCTGTTTGGAGCTGCTCACTGGACATCCTGTCATCTTGAGTGTTTTGACCAATACATTTTGGGAATTGTGCAAATAAATGGATAAAAAGGTCCCTACAGTGTCCAGTTAACAAAAAAGCAACATCTCTCAAACTGTAAATTAGTGATTCAAAGTTGGTGTTAAATGGCAGTGGCTACTAGCAGTAGGCACAGCAAATGGAATTCCAAATTCCAAATCAACTGAAATGGCTCGCCTATTGCGCTATTAGGTCGATTCATGTATATTTTGGTTCGAGATTTAGAAGTTCTGCCAAATTCCTGATTGGCCCAAATTCGGACAAATTGCATTTCTGAACAAAATAAATTTCCAATTTTATTTATCACTCAATCTGTGAATAAAATCAACATTTTTTTTTTGCAGTTTTTGGGGTGGTACAGAGTTACGTTATAATCACATATTCCATCTTTTTTATGTTGTTACATAGTATTACATACAATGTTACATACATTCATATTGAGTAGTCTTGTTGTGCTATTTTTTCATGTGTGCTGCTCAACTGATTAGCAGTCCTCTAATTACTGCCTTATGTGCTAACCATATGTTTTGTGGTTGTGTTTGGGGTGTGCAGTCCGTTTCTAAGTAGAGGGTCATCTGCCTTTCCAGGGCTTCCTTAAAAGATTGGTCTTGTAAGAGATTTTTGTTTAGTTTCCAGGGAGAGGTCCCTCTATACTGGAACCCATCCCGTAGTGTCAGTGATATTAGCGCATGGTCTGACCAGGTTAAATCGCCTATTTTACATTCTGTCATTGAAGCTAGGAGGTTTGCAGTTACAAGAATGTAGTCGATACGCGAGCTAGTTTTGTGAATTCGTGAGTGGTGTGTGTATTCGTGATTATGCGCCATGAATCATAGATGCCAAATTCGAGTAGTAGTTTTGTTAGTGCCTTGCAGTGGGGTTTAAGAGTGGCATGCCTCCTGGTGTTGTTTTGTACTGTTGTGTCTAAGTGTGGGTCTAGAATGTGGTTAAGATCACCATGCACCGATTGCCATTTATGGTGCAGTGTATTATGACATACCTGCCTTGGGCATCTTTCTTGACTTGTAGTAGTTCAAATGAGAGTGATCGGTGTAGGAGTATTGAGACTCCTCTTGATTTAGTGGTGTATGTGGAGTGGTATTGCGTGGGGAAATCTCATTGTGCAAATGTAGGGGTCTTTGTGTGGGTAAAGTGCGTCTTTTGAACGCAGAGTATATCTATGTTTTCTTTTCTAGCTGTATCTATTAGGACTCGTCGTTTGTGCGCTGTATTTGAACCAGACGCATTAATGGTTAGTATCTTCAGATTGTGTCAGAATGGTATCCGTTATGTGACCACTTACTATTGTGATGAGTATGCTTCAACCAGGGATGATGTAACTTGGGTTTGGTGGTGGGGAGAAAGAGGGAAGGAGAACAGGGAGTGGGATATGTACATGTTCCCAGCGGTAGGGAACTGGTGCGATGGTTGCACACCATGGGGTTCGGAAACATTTGTCTCCTGTTGTGTGGCGTGCGAGTTGATCTTTCCATATAAATTGAACAGAACTTTTTTTTTTATATTATGAAACTGGTAGTACCCGAAGGTTTAAACTTAACTAATTGTCTTACAGAATGGGTTTATTATGTTTGTGGTTTGTTTGATTTCTCACAAGATTGCTCTGATTTACCTGCAGACCTGTGAGGTTTGTTATAGGCATTCTGAACGGTTACAAGGTGGTGTGTTAGTTCCCCTGCTACCGTGTCGTGCTCACCTAGACTTCTCTGTTGCCATCCCCGGAGTTCCCACCCCTCACCCCTCCCGGGTAACCCACCATCCTCAGTCCCCACTGGAGGGCATCATGTCACATCATCACTGCTTATATTACAAGCCCCTGTTTCCCATATACCTGTGGCGCTCCCCTCCCATGCTGCGAGAAGCCCTGTGCATCCCCCCAGTTCCCCCCCATCATCAGGGGAGGACGGCAAGGGGAAGGCACCAGGGCCCCCGCCAGCCATCAACAAATATCCAGGCCAAGTCCATCAAGCCCCCTCAAGACGGGGCTCCCTCGGTTCCAGGCTGGGCCCCCCTCTCCCTCTTCCTTGGTGTGTGGCAGTCATTGTGCAGTGGGGTTGCTTTCTCCTACGTGGGGGCATCCCTTGTAATTATGCTAGTCCGTACATATTGCTTGTTCAGCATAGCTAGAGCCATGGCCCCGTGTGGTAAACCGTTCTGTGTGAGTTAGTATGTCCACTATCCGGTGGCTCTCCCACAGCCTCGCTTCTCAGATGCCATTATTGTAGTTGGTAAAGCAACAGAAGTTTACGCTTATCTCGTGGCCACTTTTACCAAGTGGGTTTGGATTTCCCCCCCAAGTATCCATCTCCTGCTTGGCCGCAAGCGGCTGGGTGTATAAAGTGTAAAGTATATCAGTTAACAGCCCCCAGTGTGGTGTCCTCATATAAGTACATTCTTAATCATCCGGGCAGCCCCAGGGGGGAAGCAGGGTAAGACAGTCCCGGTAAGCCCTTTCAATTACGTTATGCCCAGGTGTATTGAATGAACTTTGTGCAATACTTGCGTGTCCCTATGTGTATCGTCCTTTGCGGCCTATTGGTTGCTGGAAACTGCTTGCCATTCCAGCCGGAGTCTGCTTGGAGGTGAGGCATGACCGACTTCAAGTTGGGGGTTTATTCCCTACGACTGTAATTTTCGGATTCCATCTTCTGGGGATAGGAGAACTTTGAGGGCACCGTCTCTCGTCACCAATAATTTTGTGGGATACCCCCACCTGTATCTCATTCCGTTATTGTGGAGCGCAGCAGTGATAGGTGAGAAATCTTTCCTCCTGCGGAGTGTCGCCGCTGAGATGTCAGAGAAGATTCTTTACTGCAGCATAGTCCTCTGGCGGCTTCGGTTTGTTCCTGCTGGCGTGTAAGATGTGTTCTTTGACATGATAATAGTGTGCACGCAGTAGGACATCCCTTGGTGAGGAGTCAGGAAGGTGGCATGGACTCGACACTCGGGGCACCCTCTCCAACAATAGCATATCAGCTGGGATTTTGGGAGCATAGGCTCGTAGCAGGCCTCTTACATATTCTTGTAGAACGGCTGGGAACACTGACTCGGGTACCCCCCTCAGCGGCAGATTGTTTCGCCGCGACCTATCTTCCATATCCGCCAGTTTGGATTCAGTGAGTAGCAGTTTTTCTTCCAGGCTTTCCACGTGGGTCGCCAAGTCGTTATGTGCTGCTGCGTCTTCCTCCATCTTGGATTCTATGTGTGATGTTCTTTTCCCTATCTCCTGGACGTCTCTACGGAGAGAGTCCATGGAGTTTTTCCAGGAACCTATTAGCTTTTGCGAGAGGGCTTCTAATGCTTGAGCCAGGTAGCCCTTTGTTAAGGCTTCTCCGGGTTCCGGATGATTTTGAGCAATGCTCTCGTCATCGGAGCCTTCATCGCTATCTGGTGTGGTGTTTTGTAGGCCCGATGCTGCTGAGTGCGGTTTTTGCTGGAAAAAATTGTGCTTCTCCGCTTTTGCTGGGTTCTTCTTCCCTTTGTGGTGAGACATTTTCTATAATATAGTGTGGATGTCGTTCTGTGTGCTGTGATTGAAGTAGATTCTCAGCTCGTGTGCCGGAGCTAAGGATTATGCATCCATCTTGTCCGGCAGCTGGCCACGCCACCCAGAAAATCAACATTTAATGATATATCCTAACATCAATCATCTTTTTTTTTGTTGACACAAATCATGAATCAAATAAAACTTTTCATCCACTGCCCATGTCGTTTGTTTTTGTGATATGTCCATTTGGAGTGTGAAAGTGCAGTTTGTTTGAAAGTGCAGCGCTTTCTTTTATTAGTCATTTAAATTAATGCTTGTTAGTAATTACGTATTAGTCATTTATAATCTCTACATACATATTAAAGTGATTAGAATAAACACACATACACAAGTGTTTCATTTAGTATTTTTATATATAGGGTAACCAAAGAAAAAAGTAATTGGAGTAACTAAA